TATCTAAATGCTAGTCCAAAAGAATTTTTATTGCAAAGTTAGAAGAGTGCATTTTACGACTGTAATATATCTACCAATAATTCATATTCAACGCAATCAACTATTGTTGGTATATATGCCAAAAATATATTTAGCAGTAAATAACAAGGAAACCTCAATGAATAAGATAATGCAGACTCATATAACCTTCAAATAAGACATTTTAGGTTGTCATTTATCACACAAAAGATATAATTCTATTCACTAGAGAGTCATACAACTATGAAAGTATCCATATGTTTGCTGGGATTGTAGACAAAACATTTACAAAAGAATTCATGGATCCAAACTCTACCTGGGTATCCTTTAACAAAAAATAAAAACTACCTGAGTATCCCTCCAGCAAAAAAATACGAGGGGTATTCTGGAAGGGTATTTTTTGTTGTAGCAGGTAAAGATTCCAAGGACCTTTCATCAAAAGTGAATATACAGTGACCTATGCTTGGTTTAAATAAGCCTGTCACATACTCTACACTTAAAGCAAAATCAACATGTTCAAAGATCTTGCTTATGTAACATGATCTGATGATACATACTTTGTTTAGACTATGTTCAGTCAACTAATTTATATACATATTTAAATTAAGTATCTCTATGTATATGTACAAAATGTCAGTACTAGTTGTCAATATGTATGTGTATGCATGAGATATGAATTATTGTATTAAGTATTTAACTATAAAATAATATTGATTTTAAATTACATAATAATTGCACAATAATTGTACATAATAACATTGATTACCTAAAAGGTATTAATGTAGTTCTTTATAAAAATAAAAAATAAATTATATAACATTAAAATATATAATATATATCCAATTATTTAAATAATATTATCTCTGTGTCTTTCTTTGTTATTAAAATCTTTGTGATTCAAATAAACTTTAACATTATGAAATATTGTGAAATTACATAGGCATTTATAATGAATTAGAAGAATACTGGATATGGTTATTTCAAACATTCCAATATTCATAAAAATTTGTATTGTCCATTTAAAATTTATAATGATCATTATATTACATTCTTTATATTGTGAAAAAATAAACTAAAACCTATATCAAAAAGCACAATGGATATTACTTCAAAGACAATGGCATGAACAGAACTAAACGTTTATAAATTTTGGAGTGAAAAATTAAATTAGAAGGAAGTAATTATGGTGTATAGGTAGTAGGATAGGTAATGCAAAAGTGTTATAAATATTTTGATAATGAATAAACATATAGACGGGTATACTATATTCTGCCCTTGTAACGTCTCAAGGTTACAATTCAGACTAAGGTCCCAAAAGGTCTATTAAATTGAATTTAAATTGTTTAATTTTGAAATTGTGAAAATTATTTTTTATAACTAGGATTAAATGGAAATAACAATATAATTGAATTTATATACATAGATGTAGAAGCACCCGGAGTTATACCAAATTGTATTACAATTTTAGTTGTAAATAATTATAGTGTTATTTAAAAAAAAAGCTAATATTTTAAATTAAAAAAAGAATTATCTATGCTTATTCATTCTCAAGAATAATGTGACTACTTACACTATAGACAGGAGAATTACATGAGAACAATAGATGCATGTTTAATGCATTTACAGCGAGTTTGAAACAAAGAAACAATAGGGAATGTGATATACATAAATTTGTTTTCACTGTACTAATAATTGAATTCTTATCACTTTTATGTGAAGAATGGAACATTTAGTAATTGATTCATAAGCTGGTTAAACTAAACTACAATGCAAAGCAATGTAGGGTAGATAAAAAAAAAACTGGCATTCAGGTAGATAATAATATAATATTTATTTTATACAACTGATTCGATACATACAGCACGATTCAAGTATACACATAGATCTCACACAACGTGATGGCTTAACAACTAGAACATATTAAATCTTAAGATCAGACCAGAAAAATAAAGAAAGTACACTAGTTATTCTGTGAAACAAATAAATGACAATCGCCACCCACCCATGTTAGTTTTTTACATCAAAATAGACAGTACAAAAATGAAATGAAATGTATCTACTTTGTAACATCAACGCCAAGTAACGTGAGGGTAGTTTAGGCAACGAAAATGTTTTATGATTATGAACATATTTTATGTTTATCGTACCTACTCATAAAGATTCTATTTTATATAATGCAAAGGTAATAATAATATTTTTTTATTATACGTATGTACGTACATATATTATGTAGGTACACTATATTATTTAGTATTATATATATCCTTTCCCATATATATATATATATATATATATATATACAAATATATATATATATATATATATATATATATATATATATATATATATATATATAAGACAATTTCATTCGTAATAGTTCAAAAGTGAGTTAATGCTTGATTGCAATAAGGTACAATATTGTATACACTGTAAACAAAGCGAGCTGCATTTTTAGAACATAGTAAAATCGATATTATAGATATTAATTTCCTTGCTATATTAACATAATGCTACCTACATAAGTAAAATGTAGTACTATATATATATATATATATATATATATATATATATATATATATATATATATATAATTGGAATAATGATAGAAAATAATACCTAGGTATAAAACCATATAGTTTTTTAATGGGTGGAAATGGAATGGAATTGCCATCTGTGCTATTGGTTATTTCTGGTGAAATACAAGTGAAGGCAAGGTTAAAATTAGGTCAGTTGACCCATTATGACGAATTCATCAGAGACCTCGTGGTTCTCGACATCACACGCTATATTACTAACAATGAGGCCGCTATGCCCGATTTCATATAACGCCTCCCCCAAAGTATATATAATAGCACCCAAACAGTATCTAATGGGTGTTCATTGAATAATTTTGTACATTAAAACTTAATTAATATTGGTTTTAATATATAACGGCTAGTTCTAGATGCTTGTAGAAAATTTCATAAATTCTGGTAGGTAGGTAGGTGGGTACAAACCGTAAGCATTAGCAATAAAAATGTCGCCGATAGTAGGTACCTTAACTATAACGATTAACTATTTAAAATTGTAATATTCAAACTACACAAACACGGGCACATTCTAGAGTTACATTTTTATGTTCCATGAGTATTCATGACGAATGAATGCTGACGTCCGCCTACAAAACCAATCAAGTGCTAGCCAACAGGACACGACCTTCATACATATTACTGCGATGAACAATCAATAAAAAGAAATAATTAGTAAAAAATAATAACTTACCTCCACAGCCATACACATTGAAATAGAAATTGAACGGTTGCAGCCGTGAGCAGCCAAGGAAATTCACCACACACGCCAAAAACGTGTGCTCTGCACAGTACAATTAGAGAACTGAGGATGGTGTTGCCACCTTGGTAGCGATGCGCGACTTGACTCATCGGACTACTAATTATTCGAATGAGTAATTCATTCGTATTATTCGAATGATTTTAAAACATTCGCTACTAATTTCATTTGACTACTAATTTAATCCGAATTCTAATTTCATACGACTATTAATTTTATTTGACTACTAATTTCAATTGACTACAAATTTCAATCAATTTAGTTTTTAGCATTTCAAACTAAGTATAAAAGTTAAAAAAAAGCACGCCATAATTCACCCACCTACATCCACATTCACACTAATACAAATGCAGGGACCAAGTTAGGGTAAGGAAAATATTATCTTTGTTTCTTGAATTTTTCTTATTTCATTTGTTTTCTCGTTTCGTGAATTTGTTATGACGATATAACTGAATCGCTTTCGTCTTCACTTATAACCTCTTATTGGTACTAATAGCGCAGGGAGGGTTATTAATCAATATCTTCTATTATAAAACCCTGATGATGAAAGATAGAGATGATAAAATTTATACATTACAGTAAGAGGTCGTGTATAAAGAAGAGAAGTGGTGGTAATTGATTGCCATAAATTAAATAGAAATTTGCATTAAAATTTTTCTTAATATAACAAAATTACTTAGGTATTTTTATTGTTCCTTTGTGACATCCAGATAACAAACATCAGCATAATCAAGAAGAGGGAATAGTCTTTTTTAACCTATTTACAAGATTGTCACCCACTCCACCTGATGTTATTCGGTGTTTTATAAAATTTGAGCATGCAGCTTATACAGCTTATCAATATAGCGAAATGACGTGCGTTTCATTCGATGGAGTACGAGTATTATTACACCTGACAGTAAAATAAAGTAACATACATTTTACTATAGGGGTGAATGAGAGAGGAATATCTTACGCATGCTTTTAACTTATGCTTTGTCTACTACATCGTTATATACGTGTTTTTGTACTTGTCCGTTTACCTCCGCCTTTAATAAGCATTATAAAGTAATAAAAAAATACACTTACCTATATATTAGAAAATATGACATTGCTGTAGATATCTATATTCGTATTATTTATACAAAAGGAAGTCAGGGTGCAATCAAGAGAGAAAACATATAACTACCTTTAATTTTCTAATAATGATTACTGATAATCTGATAAAGTCATTATATTACATACTCATGAATCTTCTTGATTTATGAGTATGTAATATTAGTTTTTACCTGCGACTACTTCGGCATGACCGGGACATAATGTAGCATAAGCCCTTCTTTATACCTTATTGCATGTGGATACCATAGACTTAGCAAAACGTGCTTAGGTTTATGACAAAGTTCATAATGATTGGCTAAGCCATTAAGGCGTTAAGAGGTAATAAACATTCAAACAAACTAGCTTTCATATTCATACATACAATATTTTATTACAAGATGAGGTTGCATTTGATCTTACTTCATTTGATGTAGAGTGCTGATAAAATCTAGACGGAGCGTGCTTACTCAGAAGATACTTATTCTACATCGACTTACAGTTTTAGATTCTATAAAATAATAAAGAGTAAGGATTGATATAACTGCTATTTGCGAATTTGAATGGTAGAAAAACAACAATTCTTTTAACAAAAAGTCTTTAATGTCCCTTTGAATATCTTATAATATGAAATATCAGACTACATAAACATGTGATCGTTGAAGCCTGGGGGTGGTAAATGGTCCGAATCGGGGGGCGCCGGTCTGCGACCAGGACGGGGCCCTATGCCAGGCGGGCCGAATGGATCGAAGCGAGCTCCGGGCGGGACAGCACCTCTGTTCAGAAATACACGAAAATTTTAAAACATTTATCATAAAATAAGTAATAAAAGTATGTACTGCTCCATCGGAGGGGTTGGGAGGGATTTTTTTTAATGGATGATAATGGAATGGTAACGCCGTTTGTGCTATCGGTATACATTGGCGAGGCATCAGTGGCAGATGATAGGTGAGGATGAAGCAGGTCAGTTTATTTACTTAGGCCATCAGCGCAGGCGGGGTCCCCATTCCATTATTATCAATTATAAAAAAAAACTGCAGTTGCCAACTCGCCTGTCAGGAGTGGTAGTAACTACTGACAAAACTCCCTTTATGTTAAGTAGTAGACAGTTAACAGCTCAAATAATAGATGTAATATTTACATTATATCTATTTCATTTAAATTTCTTTCCATAGAAGAAGTAACATAACAAGAAACCTTGGTAGTCTGCCAGGGATACCAATTCCGGGCTCGTCTGGATTTCTACCAGGTGTAAACGGGTTGAACAGCATACCGCCGCCGCTTGGTGCGAATGGATCAAGATCTGAACGGCCAATATTTCTGATATGTGCTGGTGGCAAGTCCCTGCGGAATTCAGAAGCATTATTTGCAGTTAAATACCATGGTTCCACTTGTGAGATGAATCTGCTCTATATCAGTTGAATAATCTAAAGTTTATACTATAAATTTTATGGTTGTGCAAATGCAGATTTTGGATGTATTTAATTTATCACTTGCAGTAAAAAAACTTCATCATTTTTCATCAAACATCATTTAACTTAATAAATTGGCGAAATTACCGTTTTATCAACCGTCATACACTAAAATTAATATAATTTAGACTTAAATATGTTAGAAAATTAGTATCATATTGGTCTTATGAAAAAGATTTCGTTGTGATATCCAATTGAAATTTTAATAATAGGTTTAAAGAATGGCGCCTAGGAATCGGCCCCATTATCATTCATTTGATGTAATCAGCCAAGTTTAGTGATACTTCAGGCTTAAGAATTGTATTACTGCATTACTATGTCGACTATATAATATAATTAAAAATGCTTGTAATTTGTTTCCTAAAATGTTATTTTAGTCTTTATTTTTTATGCAACTTAGACTGGCAAACAAGCGACGGCCCACCTGATGGAAAGTGGTAACCATCGCCTATGGATATGACAACAGTACTATGGACATAACCAAGTATAATGTGAATGTGTTGCCCGTGATATGAACATTGTCATTCCTAAAGACTAAATATTCCTAAATAATTCCTTATCTTTAGATTTTCTGTACGACCATTTTCTCCAAGTTATCCATTGTTAAAAATCACCCAAAAATTAAGATTTTTTTAAATATTTCTTAATTTTTGCGAATAGTTCATAAGTAATTTATAGGTATACTTGACTTCTTAATAATCTTTACGATTTTATTCCTTTGTTATGGCGCCTTAAAGGCTTAACCAATCACTATGAATATTGATATACACATACTATAAGGGATGGAAAAGGTTATAGGCTACTTTTATCTCGGCCAGTTAACATATTTATACGAACATCCCATTATAGTAAAAGAAAAAAAAAAGCATACAACCAACTTTCAAATATATATTTTTTAAAGATTATATCAACTCTTACCATGCATCTGGTATGTCAGGTTGCGCGCTCGGTAGCGGTCTTGGCCCGACCCTCAGTGGGTCATCAGCAGGTATCCTGCTGGTATTACCACCTATAAAAATAGCTGTATTAGTAAATAAAAATAGCCCTTATATTTACATAAAATCAAGTAAGTTATTAAAAAGTGGGAAAACCTACAGTTTATAATAGCATATACAATAACGGCGTACTCCATAGATGTCACCATTAGGTAAGTGATGTTTGTATATGTGTAACTGTGTATGTGTTGTATATTCCAAGTATGGTGTATTCTTTAATAATTAAATGAACCTGATAGAGAGTGTTAAGTTCAAATATTCGCCCATAATATGGAAAAAGTGGGCAAATCAAGTGACATATGCACCATAATGGCAACAGGATAGTAAAATTACATTTATTTATTGTTTATTATTATTAAAAAAAATGTGCAAATAGTAGACTTAATGCCCTTAAAGCATTTTCTCTCAGTTAACCTTTGGAAAAGCAGAAACATACATTTACATAGAAAAATACATACACAACATGTGTATAATAAGCAGCTAGACATATTCATGTTACAAAGTTCAGCAACATGGGAGTGAGTGAGATATTGCAAGCTTTTTATAAGTTTTAACAGCTGAACTATAAGTTGGTCAGATGCTTGATTTAATATCTCTTTGTAAAAAAAATGAGACCTTCCACAACTATGACACAAATTACATTTAGATAGATAGATAATCTTTATTACCAGTAACAAAAAAAAAAAATCAACAATAAAAAGAAAAAAAAAATTGCTGGTAATTCTCAGCTGTTGCTATATATGTACAGCTCTAGCAAGAAGTACCTATATAGTGCTGATTGTGGTGGCCCCTTAACTCCTTTACCCTTAGCATGAGTAATTTTCTCTCAATCATTAACAAAATCATTTAACTTACTTGTTGCTGTCTGTGTCTCTGTGGATGCAGTGGGTCTTGTTGTAATTGTATCTATCAGATCCCGTTTCACATTGTATATCAAATCTTTGTGGTTCGGTATTAGCTTGGCTATAGGCCCACTCATCTCCTTTACTGTGTCATCAACATTGAATGCAATATTTGATACTGCTAAGTCTTCTGACCTCTGTAAGCATAGATAGATACTTTTTTGTTGTTTCCGCCAAAAGATTTGTAGTAAACTTATTATAGATACAAATAATTAGAAAAAATTATAACACTGAGAAAACATAGGGCAGCTTTATCACTAAACGCAATCTCTTCCAGTCAACTTTTGGATGGAGAGGAATAATTACAAATAGCATACATTATGAAAATAATTGTTGGAAAATAATTTAAATAATATTCTTGTATATACAGTACTTCTCTGCTTATTTTTCTTTATTGGTTTGTTTTTGTTTCTACTTAACTCTAGTAAATTTTGGGTATCTAAAACATTGAATATTAATTGAACAATATGTTTAGAATAAATAGAATTCTGTATTTTTTTAGAAAAATATTTTTTCTATGCACACACACTTACATCATTATTATATACATGAAAACATGACTTGCCTGTCTGTAGCAATTATACAAATCTAGTTCTACCTAGTCTGGTACATGGAGTTCATTTATTAAGGTATTATTTTGTTCAAAACATGCTATGTAGTAGTTTTGTTGTATAAATTATTAATATAGTTAGATTTTTATAGTGATTATTTACTGAAAAATATTTGCTTACTACAATTAGTTTTAGTCAGGGTAGAGGGATTGTTAGTAATGGGAACACATTAGTCCTAGTTGTTTGCATTCTAGGTTATTGATTATCAAGTAAAAGTTCTACTATACTACTATTAAGTCATATATTAATATCCCTACTTAAATATAAGTATAACAAAAAAAAAAAAAAGGAACAGCAGAGAAATAAGACATACTGTGTCATAACTCAAAATAAAGGGATCATTATTAACTACTGACATTTGTACTCACTTAATATGGCCATAAAGTACAGACCAAAAGAAGCCATATAATATGTAAACTAGTTCATACTTTATTCTTTTAATTTAATAATTGTTTAATGAGTGATAATGACAGTAATTTGACATAAATGACACATATAATACAAGTATGATTTCTTGTCTTTTTATATAAAACTTAAATCTACCCATTTTTCCAGCCTTTCACTTGCTCTCAAGTTTTGACAGACTTTTACAATGCCAAACATCTACAAGTTGGGGTTAAGGAAGGTGTCTTTGAGCAACTTTATAAGTAAACTAGCTATTACCCATGACTTCATCTGTGTGACCGGGATATATTTACGGACCAGGATAAAAAGTAGTCTATATCCTTCTTCGCCTTACATAGTGTGTGTATGCTGAATTTTAATAATGTTTCAGCCATTACGGTGCTATGAAGTAACAAACAAACTTACTTTCATATTTAAAATATTAATAAAGATATCTCCTATGAGTCTAGCAGTCAGTCCAGGTGTACTAGTCTCAATTTAATTGTAACAATAAGAAAACAGAGAACCAATTATTTTACTCAAAATTAAAATTCAACAAAGAGTAAACAAGTAATATACCATCAAATTTATGATTAGATTTCCATCAGTGTTCAATCCATGGAGTATATACAGCTTGTCATCTAATATATATCGTATAGTATATGTGTCTTTATCATTCCATCCTGTTGGCAGCAATTCATTTTTCTCTTCTTCGCCAGTCAATGTGCGCTGGAAGTTTAATTATTAACCATTATATAAAAGTGGACAGATAATGGCTAAAATGACGATGATGATGATCATATAAATACTTAAGAATTCATATATATTGGTGTACATAATATTATTGATTTAAAGAAGCAAATATTCTCACCACAGCTTCATAATACATATACACAAACATTTTGTATAAACGCAGGAATCTTCAACTGTTTCTTAAAAATAGTGATCTTAATATATGTATACAAACACAAATTTGCTGTCCCGAAATATTGTTTAAAAAAAGTTAATAGGCTTTTTATGGAAATAGGCATTAAATAAGATACCGAAAGATATTTTGGAACTACCTTTTAAGAAATTTTAAAGTATTATTAAAAAACACTTATTGAATAAAGAACACTAATAATTACTTTTATGACAAATGCGCATGGTGTTAGTCCATCATGTATAAGGCTTTTTAATGACTGTGTAATTTTAGACATTGTACATTTAAATATATGCGAATTATACATTCATATATCACATATAAAAATCATTAATATAAATATACAAATAAAAAACATTTTAGAATGTGATCAAAATGAATAAAATAATATATAAAATAGTTTTGTCGACTAACGGAAAGTTTGTCAATAACAGCAGAAACAAACCTCATCTCCAATGCCAATGCTGCGGAAACCTCTTTTCATTAAATTCCAATGAATAAAAGCAATAAGAATATCAGATTTTCGCTTCAGGTCCCTCTCAACACTCTTAAATGTTAAATCCCATCCAAAAAGTGGATCTCCTGCCATTTTGCGATTCACACAATATTTTTAGAGTTTAAATTGTATGTTTAAAATAATGTATACTGTATTTTCAATAGCCTCATTTTTTTACGTGCTATGACTTTCCGATTTCTAGGTCTATATTTTTTTTTTTACGTTTGTTCCGTTTGCTAATCGGAGACCATGCTTTCTTCAAAAAGATAATTTGTCTTTCTAGGTCTATATTTTTATTATAAATAAAAAACACAAATCACAGAAGGAAAAATGCAGAAAAACTTCGGAAATAAAATGAAAATAGATTCAATGACTAGTCGAAAGTGCTGTCAATGTCAAATAGCTGTCAATGTGAAAATAAGAATATCGTTCTGAAGTAAAAAATCTACTATTTTAAGAAAATATATATTCGTTAATTTGCTGAATAAGTGTAAAAATAGTAGTAGAAATTAGTGTCAAAATATTAGTATAAAAATATAAGATACAGATGTATTATTATATAGAAAACAAATTACTGTAAAGAAAAATTCATATAAATTAATAAATTAAATACTTTATTTTCCTCTGTCGACTAAAGATTTATAATTAAAAAAACTAAAATATTTATTTCAGTTATTTAAATATTATAATAAAATTTTTTGTAAAGTTTGTTAATATAGTCAATCGATTATCGATTTAAATGAAAACAGGTTTATCGGTATTCTTGCCTACTTAAGTGCACTGTGCAACGTAAAAACAACATGGCGGGCAGTGTCAATTTGGGAACGTCGCGGTTATAACGTGAAATAATGAATTTTGTTGTTTTAGAATATGGGTGAATATGTGCAATAATTTATTACACTCTGATGTGCAAAGTGTTGTGTTTTGATTATATTTGTGTAATTTAAGTGTCAAAATGGCCTCGGATAAGATAAAAGTAGCAGTTCGAGTCCGTCCTTTTAACAGGCGAGGTAAGCCAGTTTCATTCTGCTAATAAATAAAGGATTTGATATCTTATTGCAAACTACGTATCTATCTAAAGTTTATCTGTCTTGTTTGTTAAGATAAAACCAATGATGGTTTCCCCATTTCGTTCAAATTATCGATAATTGTTTAATTTTATTCTGCATTACAATTGGTTTACTTACCATGTGAAAATTGTCAATTTTCATCATTCTACAATGGTAAAATGTGTGTAAATTTTATTACTAGACTATCTAATTTGTAGGACGAAGATAATTATAGAATCATGTATCCTAATATTGTACATATATAGTTGTATCACATTGGTTAACTAATAATAGTACGCATATAATAAATACGATATATTTGGATCAAATTTATTATTTGGAATTTTACTAACTTTTGATATTTTGTTTTTTATTTCTTGGAAATCATACTTATGATGTCACATTTCATATAAAAACAAATGTAGTATACAATAATTTATATCCTTAATCCTTTAAAATATTGTATTAAATTGGAGTATTATTATATAGTATTTGTAACAAGAATTTAAATTAAGATTAAGAATTTTTATTTTTGTTACATATTTTAAAATCTTTTATAAAGAATTTATTGTTTGGTTGTGACTCTTTCATGAAACTTTATTATTTTGACTATATATGCAAAATTATTCAAAATACCTGTACTTTGTTCCACTGTCTTATTAATAAATATATCTGAAGATGTAGTTTCAAAAAGTAAAGTATAAGTATTTTAAATAATATTATATAGTCAAAATAAATAATTATTTAAATAATATATAACATTAAATGTTCTGGCCGGCTGGCCAATCTGGATTATGCCAACCATGAGTATGATTTTATTGTCTATTGTGTCTGTGCTATTTTCTAATCAAATTGTTTTCACTCATAGTGCAACTATATAAAACAACAAATAGTGTAAATTTAAGATTTGTGGTATTTTAATTTAAAATCAGCATTAGGCATTTTTAAATATTTGTATCTATTGTTCTAAATATTATTGTTATAAAGTACTTTATATGTGTAAGTTTCTGGGCTAAATGATCCTTATTATGAAATAATTACTTATTAAGAAAAAAATTGTAGTATAAATTTTTTTCGTTATATGTATTAGACAAAGATACACCTATATTGACTTAGAATTTTTTAAATATTATTGTTGTCTTTTCAGTATTACTAAAATAATCAATTAGCACTAGACTAGCTGGAAAGATATAAATTAATACATCTTACAATGAGTCTAAAGAAAAATTTAAAAGTGATTAAAGAATCTATCAAAAATAGAAGGGGAAAATATTTTTTTTAATGGATGATAATGGAATGGTAACTCCACCTGCGCTATTGGGATACCCTGGCAGGATAATATGTGTGGATGAAAAGGCAGGTCAGTTAGCCCATCATGACAAATTCCACTATTAATTAACCATGACGGTTTCCAGGGGATACCACATGTAGGTCAACCTGATAGAGTGTATTGCTAGCAATGTGTCTATTAGACCCCATTACTAACAATTCCTTTTCACCCAGGGGAAAATGTTGGAACAATAATTGATACAATAAGACACATAAACATTATTATAGAAGGCAAGGCAGAGAGAAGAATGGGAAGATACAGACTAAAAAATAGTAAATAATATCAACTAGTTTAAAGAAGCTTGGACTCATGTTGTTAGTTGTAAAGAGATATTCTAAAAACTTCAAGAGTGGTAAGTTTCTACCAACAAAAGAATAGAGTTCTTAAATAATGAATATATTATATATGATATAATCATGAATAACTGATTCAGTCAGGTGGCTAGTGTAATAATAGTAGTACCTTCTCTTATTTTACCTAGTCATGGGGTGTTAAATAGTTGTTATTATTATAATGATAAAAATAAATATGTCCAAACTGCTGATGAGACTCTCACAGATATTTTTTAATTGTTATAGTTATGATGAATGTAACAATTGAGATGCCCATATTAATTGAGATTAGTAGAATCTAATGTCTTTTGGATTTTTTTATGTGTATTAGCAGTGTTTTCCATAAAAATCCATCATTAAATTGACACATAACAAAACATGTTTTGTATTACCCAGATTTGATCAGTATGTCACAATACTGTTGTTTACTGATGACAAGGTCAAATATAAGTGCATTCGAATAAAGCAAACAAAATATAAATTGTTGGGGGTGAAGGGATTGGTAATAATAGAGATTATTATCCCCATTGCTACTAATACATCCTGTCAGGTTGGCCTCTTTGCTGTTCTTCCTGGAAACTATTGTGTTTAATTCCAAGTGAATTTATTATGATGGGCTAACTAACTGACCTGCCTTTTTATCCTCACCTATCATCCCTCACTGGTGCCCCGCCAGCGAATACCGTTAGCGCAGGCAGGGATACCATTCTATTATCATCCATTTAAGTACAAGTTGTTAAATTTATATTCTATTTCATTTTATTATAATATATATATGTGTGTAATGTATAAATTATTTAATGTTAACAGATAGTAGTATTATGTGTTTCCTTAATTTTTTAGAGCTAATATTATCCAATTATTACTAAGTTTAGTTTGATAATGTTTTATATAATATTAATAAACATTGATGTGTAATAAAAAATACACATACATAAGCTGATATGGATTATATGAGTCACATGTTACATTGATAATGTTTATGGTAAATGTAAAATAGTTAATAGTTTGCAGTTGGACTTTATTTTTTAATAAACTCTAAATTATGTTGTATTTTATTATTATTATTACTTGAAATTATTCAAATTGATTTCAACACAGAAATATTTTTTTTTCATTTACTTAGTACTTTTATTTTTTTTTATTTCATTATCTATACATCTAAAATTATACTTATATGTATGTACTGTGTTGTTAAAAAAAAAGTGTTATTTAATTTAAAAAAAAATAGCTAATATCTGTTATTTGATTGTTATTCCTCTTTCATTCGCTTAAAATTGAATTAGATATAAATATGGGCAAATTATATGAGTACTTATTTGTCTTTATAATAACTCCACCAAAACTCTATAATGACTCACAATTAGCCTACAATCGGGAAGTAAAGTGTCTTTTATATTTAAAAGTTACAAATTACGGAAACAAAATTGCAACCATAATTTCGACCAGTAATTTTCAAGCAACTGCTTTCGTAATACCGTCAAAATTATCAACGCCTATTTACGCTTTGTGCAAAACAAAATGAACAGTTATAGACTGTAGTACGCTCCTTGCCCCGTTGTTCGTCATGGTGAATAAACGTTGTGTATCCGCCATTACTTAGAGTTGATATTTGCTGTGGTTCCACTATGCAACTTCTTTACGTAATTTGTTAAATCGATTCTAGACGTTGCGACAGTTACACCTGTATTGGATTGTTTTCTTTCTAATCAGCCTCTCTAGACATTTTTTTAAAATTATTTATTCAATATGCTTATTCGAGATTTGATACACAGTACATTTATGTATCGTACTTAAAAAAACTTTGTAGGTTTTTTTTAATGGGTCATAATGATATGGTAACCCCACCTGCGCTATAGGTATACGCTGGCGGGGTACTAGTGAAGGATGATAGGTACATTACTAACAACCCTTTTCCCCCAACTTTGTAGGGTTTATCTAAGTATCAGCTCTGCCGATATTGGTACACACAATAGTTACTACTTCGTATATAGATAAGTATAATTTAATGTTAGGTTGTAAAGAAATGGCAAATGAAAATATCCATAGAAACGTTTTGGTTAGTGCTGACATGAGAACAGGCAGAGACATGAGGACGTCGCCATCTCACTCTATCACATGACCTAGTTATTAGGCGTGAGTAATATATGGCAATATCTATATATTGTCCCAATAATACATATATTAAATATCGATTATCCAAAAAATAATATCGAAATCAAGAACCCGATCGAAATAAATATAGATATTCGACTGGTATGGGCGTTGTCAAAATGGGAGATCATATATTTTCCGCCATCAATGTCCAGAGCGACCCAATATATAGGTATGGAAGCGGTACTGATATTACCCATGCATACTATATATATGTTGAAGAATTCTATCGGTAGATGAGTTTTCGTTATCGCTCTCATGAGAAAGAACAAGCCAGACCTTTCTGTTTCATTCTGTCATACTTATCGATAAATTCGTTTGCCACTTGAGTAGGGAACTAGGCCGAATTATGCTTTATAATACAAAATTTTCATGTTTCCTCCTTAAAGCCAACAACAAATTTGTCTTGGCATATATTCACTCTTTTATCATAAATGATATAGCTACATGGTGAAATCGAAATCGTTAGCATCGTTTGAAGGGAGCGAAATTGAATATTGAAGGTACTAAAGAAACGTGGGCCGAAAAGCAATACAGTTTTGAGTCTTCAACACTCCTAATATGTTCTCTAGTATAGAGAGAATTTTACTTTTGCGCATCGCTAGTGATTCCAAGGGTAAAATAATTGTATAAAACAACATAACACAACAGAAAAAATAATTATATATATAAAAAAAATAATAGGTTTTGTTCTGAGAGAGTATTTTACCTACATTGCATTTGTATCTGAGCTAATACATTCTGGTGGCCATACACAATTCAAACCCCTTGCATTTTTGACGGTAAACTTAATAATGTATGGCCACCATTGGATTGCCCTTTGTCGTGAGCGAAACTTCCTAATTACTAGTAAATAATTCAGAACTAAAGAAAAATAGTTGGCAGTTAGTAATTGTGTTTAAGTGTTCATTCTTTTCTAAATTAAGTTACATCACTACGATGGAGTAACACTTTTTCCATTTGAATGTTCAGCAAAAAATAATTGGTACTTTGTAAACTATGCAATGTAGATATGAGCCATACCACATTGTGCAGCTATAAATGTGCTCAGCATTTTATGTTTGCAATAAAACTGAACCATATACGCTTGCACATCTAGCCGAGAATATTCAGTTTGTTTTACATAAGCCCGGTGTACATAAAATAGTCTAGTAGAACCGGATTTGAAAGAGAATCGGCGCGGACGTACGGGCCGACCTCGGGTTGAGTCACCTCACTACTTACGTTACGTACCTACTAAACTTACGTTCCTTTATATTTTGTAAACATGCAAACCAAATTCTGGTATTTACGGAATACGGAAAAGAAATGGGTACCTCTTTCCCTTGCTTTGTTTGGGTAAGTATACAAGTTTTGAGCAGTTTAATAAAAGAAGTCTGTCTAAGCCCAAATAAAATATAATGTTGCTGATTTGATATTGATCAATAAATGTTTTCATTTTATTATAACCTAGCTAGGCTAGTTACTATATTGGTTGTTATAGAGAAACTGTCTTCTAGTCTAACCTCCTTTTCCGACATAAAAACCTTGTTCATAGAGTAGATGACAGCCGTTACCTATATTTCTGAACGTTTAAATGCCTGTTATTAAGTAATTATTTTCTTGTTTAATTCAATAAGCGTACATCACGGATTATTATAAACTACTATGACTGCAACGGTGTAGTCGGGATTCGGGACATTGATGCACCAGGATGGAAAGTAGCCTATATCCTTTATTATCCAAAATATTTATGCCATATTTCATGACCATCGATTAAGAAGTTAGGACCCCAAAAAGAAATGAACTCAATGTTTTAATTTTTTTTTGTACTGCCGTAATACAAAAGAAAATCTGTAACAATATTTTATACTTATCTTAATAGTATAAAATATACTTTCTGCCTTTCTCTATTCGTTTCTCCTCTTCTAAACCAGGCAACGGAATTTGATTACTTATTACTTGGTTACTTATATTTTTTTGAAAAGTTTGTATGTTCAAATACATACAAATTATTACACATATCTGGTATTATGACAGCACGGGTGGCTCGCTAGCCCTATTAACGTTATAAATACAAAGGAATGAATGAATGAATTTTATTGCTAAAAATGTGGTACAATAAGGTCATATGGTAATATTACAATGGTTTTACACATTTTGTCATTAACTGACTTGCAACAGTCATTACAAAAGTTTGTAACGATGGATGAATGAATGTTTGTTACTCTTTTACGCAAAAACTATATAACAGATTTAAATTAAATTTGGTAAACAGGTAGGTTATATCTTAATTTTGCACGTAGGTTACTTTATATGTATATTTATTTACGCAGATCAAATCACGTGCTACAGTTAGTGTTAAATAAGTTACAAGTTTTATAATATTTAGGTATTATCTGTGCTTTTATAAAGCATTTAAAAAGAAAATGGAATCTATAATTGAGTAATGCTATAAAAAGCGTGTTCCTGAATTTCTTATATACAAAAAAGTAACATTATAAGGTTACTTATAACTGACTTCATTAAAAATTTCATCAATTAGTAACCATCACTAAACAGTTATATGTGTGCATTACTTAATAAATAAATTAAAAATAAATATCTTTTTAGATTAAACAATTAATAATTAATTTTAAAACGATCAACATTGTAATTATTTAATTAAAAATCTCTAAATAGATCGCTGGATCATTACCGTCGATTAGTATTCTAGTCGGTGCAGACACGCGTTCCTCGTACGGCTGCCGTTTCTATAGGTAGTTTGATTCCATTCCGTTATCTCAGTTAGTGCTTTTATACCACAAATAGGTAGGTACATAAGACTGTATCTATCTTTGGTAAATGCAAACAAAACAGCGATTTCAATAAGCCACAAACAAACTAATGAGCGTCGATATGTTAAGTATTTTTTTAATTTGTGAAGATGAAATGGTAACACTGCCTGCGGTATCGGTATACGCTGGCAGAGCACCAGTGAGAGATGATAGATGAGGATGACAGCAGTTGGCCTATAGTGACGAATTTATCAATAAATTAACTACGATGGTTTCCAGAAGTAACTGCATAAAAATCGAGTTGCAAGGGCATATTGCTAGCAATGGGGATGTTAAACCCATTATTAATAATAAATCCTTTTGTCCCCAATAACTTTAAGATTGAACGTAGAAAGCTGAGTTTGTAAGTAGATTTTATTCTGCGACATTATTTTTTTTGCTCTGCAAAAAAAAGGCAGCTTTAAAACTGCAAAAGTGATATAGGACTACCAATCGATAGGGTTCATTCCCGATCCTATTATAAAAAAAACACTATCAAAATCGGCGCAAAACCGCTTCTTTGGGAAATAGCTTAAATACTAGCAATGGTACTACTTCCATTCGGCAATTAGTATGCGTTAACTACCTTTAGTTACCGTAACGGCAACCTCAGCAGCATCATAGGAGGCGGATTTATGTAATGTATCTTACGAAATACCTAATAATGACGTAATTGTAAATGCAAATTGAGTTCCATTATAATAACCACACATGTTAGTAATGACAAAGGAAATGTGCATGTTAAAGTGGAGTAGGTTAAGTATGCATATGATTATTCTGTGTCCATATTTCTTTTTTTTTTATAATTAGTAAACAAAATAAGCGTGTCTTTAAGATAGACAAGAAGGTGACAGTATAGAATAACCACATTATAAATAAATATAAAAAAAAGTTTTAATTTCTTTAAAGAAGGATGTTTTCAATTCGGTTGTATTTTTTTATATGTATATTGTATACCTCATAACTCGGTCATTTATAAACGGATTTGGAGAATTCTTTTTGGTTTGCAAATATGTATTTAGTTATTTTCATATTGGTTCCATAGAAATTTTATCAAAGTTGGTTTAGTAGTTAATTTTTAAATAAAAATAACTGGTTTGGCTATGATTGGAGTCGGCGTTTTTTATAGAACAAAAAATTTTACAATAAGAGTAGTGAGTAGTTTGTTTCACGGAGAGCAAAATGTAATTGTATACATGACCCATTTAATAAACAGTCTTGGCGTGTCCTTTTATAGAAGTAACTTGCGATCTGGCTTCGCAAGGAAAGGTAAATTAGTATATTACGTTACCTTTAATAGGCAATTTTTTTTTTATACAGTAACTCGTAACTAGCACTTTTTAAATAATTAAGAAAAAACAGTGACTGATTAGTCCCATATTAATTTTAGGACGATTATTCTAAAATTAATATGGTATCAACACGAGTGTAAACTCTATTGACTGTAAAAATATATTTGTAAGAATTTGCCGAAAAAATCTTATAAGATACGAAGTAAAAAACCTACATACGAATTGGGAATTTCCGCTTTGAAATCCGCTAAAATTTAATACACATTGTTCTTAATAAATTCCATGGCAATAATATGGTCCATTTGTTTCAGAACTCGAACTTGGTACACAATGCGTGGTCGATATGGAAGGGCAGCAGACCGTTTTGCAGTACCCTCAGTCAGGGCACGACAAAGAAAGGTATGCAGTAGATTTTGAGTAGTAGCTATTGTCTATTTTTCCTTGATGTACTAAAAGAAACTAAACAGTTAAAGAATACTGGTAAACAAATGCCATAGCAATGAACTCTTATAGGAAACACGTGTACATTACGAGTTTTATGTGTATGTAATCTCTGATACAAATAGTTGTCTTTAGAAAATAAAAGATACTACTTTTAATACCCGACATTGTCCGCGTGACCGGAGTAAATTAATGAACTGGATTAGTGGATAAAAAGTAAATCATATTGTTCTCTCTTCCAAATAGGTAGTAGTAAAAAGGCAAAAAAACGAACTTACTTTCATATTTATATTAGTAAAAAAAAAATAAGATTTTTTAAGCATAGACAATTGAATGTGAAATATAAACTATTTTATTAAAAAATCTATTTTTTTTATGACTTCACAATTCCATCAAATTATTAGTTATCAATACCCATATTCGATTATTATCACATGAGGTGAGAAAGGAAAAACACCATACACGTGCTAGTTGGTTGTACTTGACTATATTCTATCGACCTTTATTATTTACGAGAACATGAATAAAACGGTGTTGCCATGTGTAATGTAATCACTAGCCGATTAATTTATATTTGTAATGGTATACTATACGTGTAGTTAGTCCTTGTAGTGGGTTACTTAGTTTCGAATACACTTAGAAATTCAGATCGTATTGATTGTTCGAAAATGGCCTAGCCAGAAATTTGTGTATTTCCATAAACATTAATTTACCATATTTGTAAAGAAAACTTAAATAAAGGAACTGCAATCTAGGAAGCTATGATAATTGATCTAGCCTTAAAACGCTTCCTTGCCCCAGATTCAATTCAGCGCGCGTTTTAATTAAAAAATAATAAATAGTCCAGTATCTTTACAATTCTTTTACATTGCCATATTTACATCTTTGTTGCTGTATTAGGTAAATTAAACACCTAATACATATTTAAGTCCTATCTTTCGCCTTGCGAATAATATTTTGCTATTTAGGATTAATATAGCAATTTATAAGTAAAGCATCTTTAAGATTCAGTTTATAAATTAATCTATAACGTCTCTAGAACCCTATTACTTACAAGAAGTATTATCAAAATTAAGTAATTGGTAAAAATGTCGAGTGACTGTTACACATACACACACACACATACAAAAAAACCATAGAATAAATTTGTGAACCTCCTTTTTTATTCGCTTAATAATATATTAATTACACATATTTATTTTATAGACAATACGATAACTCTTTGTTGTATTTATTAGGAAATATACTTCAAGATATAAATTCACTTTATGATTAAAGAATTTAAAAAGTAGGATCCTAATGTTTCTTTGAAGTGGCACGTTACTAAATAAAAGCATGCTTTGGGCCGCGACGCTCTGATTGGCGCGTTACCTCGTCTCGTTGCGCAAGTGGCGCTTGCGCATGAGCAGTGATTAAGTAGAATTTAGTAGATGAATACTTGCAAAATTTTTACGATTAAAGAGTTATTTAATAAATCGATAATAAAGATCTTTTCAATAAATTATTATTCCGATACTACTTTTAGTTCGCGACTTTGTACGCGTATTTTGTGTATTTTGGTAGTAGGAAACTAATATTTTTTGGGGAATTAAAATACAATATATATCAGATTTTAAGTTTGACATTCAGGAATATAACTGAAAAGTGATTTGGTGTAGGTAGTAAGTAATTGTTGCGTAATGCCTAAAGAAACTTTTTTACTTTAACAATAACTGTAATTTGATCTGACTTATGACCGCCACCCTTAAGAACATTATTGTATATGAAAGCTGTATAGATACATTCCGAATTAAATTAAAACTTAGGTACAAGAAATGTTTGGTGTACTCGTATTGCGGATAGTTACATTTGAGAGTAGGTTTTTTTGGCCCAACTGAATTATGTTTATCTTTTGTCCTTTGTTTGTAGTTGCGTATTTATTTATCGCTATTTTTACTTAATATTATCTATTTTTTCTCTGTGGCAATAAATATGACATATCATGTTACTTTTTAATCTTATCAAATAGGTCACTTATCTATACAATATAAAATTCTAACCGGTTGGTTTATATATGATTAATGCACAGCTTAAACTAATGGTTTTAAAATATTAACTATTTCAGGAATTATCGCATATATAATATAAGAGATCACGGGTAAAGTTGCGGTAAATCGCTAGTTACTTATCGATATTGCAATATCATAGAAGAAACAATCAAATATAAGTGAATAATTTAATTTTGAAATTTTAGTTTAGTGTCATACATAAAATATTGAAACGGGCAAGGCATAATTAAGGTTATGACAATAAATCGTCATCGTTTGAGACATCACTTATTCAATGTTGTAGTACCTTGTATTCGAAAGCCATTTTTTTTTATATGGGTGAAGATGGAATGGTAACCCCGTCTGCGCTGTCGATAAATACTGGCGGGGCACAATTGAAAGACGAATGGTGATGGAAGACGAGTCATTTGACCGATAGTTGTTAATTCAACAAGAATTAACCACGATAGAAATAGAATTTTTATATCCTATTATTAACAATCGCTTTCCCCCTGAAGGGCAACGGTTTTCACGTCGTTAGTATGCAGTTTTTGGTGTACATACAGAATAGTTACCTACAAATTTGTAAATTGCATTATAGTGCATCGCTGTGTGCCTGATAAGCGATGTAACACTGAACTGAAGAAGTTTGATTAAAAATAAAAGACGAAAGTCGGCAAGATTCAGGTTTCCCATTCCTAGTTAAGTTGCCTCTACGTTAATTATCCACCCTTTTCTAATTTGGCCAATGACTATCATTTTGGCAGCAATTAAGGCTTATGGAATTACTCGTTTAAGACTTTTAATACCTATGCTTTAGTTGACTTAGCAGAAAGGCAAGAGTGTGATACTTCATTGTATATATATTTTTTATTATTAATCTGAATTCTGTGTTATTTAGAATGAATAGTAGATCAATACGAGAATTCGGTTTGAAGGGTGGGATATGGCGTGAATTTACTGGGTACAGAGGAATAATATCTGAGTCCTCAGGAATGGCAACGCATGGGGAGTATCATGGGCGAAACAGTATACTCTGTTATGTCCATGGTATTGCTTATGTCTATAGGCGACGGTTACCACTTTCCATCAGGTGGGCCTTCAGCTTGTTTGCCATTCTAAGTTGTATAAGAAAAAAAAACCCTATCGGTTATAAATTTAAAATCAGATCAATTCAGAATTCTCGAATATTGTTAAGAGAGAGACTGGCTGAAAACCAGCGCTGTGTAGCTGTACACATTGCACTGAGACACTCACAGCATCAGCTGAGCCAGTTCTTTTTGCCTAATACGAGACATTTCTTCTTATATATGTAATATTTTTGTATTTTCTTTTGTACTTGTATTTTTCTGCTAATAAATATTTTCTATTCTAAAAAAAAAAAGAAAAATATAGAAGACTTAAAATTGCTAATAAAATGCAGTATTAAGCACCCCTGCACTTTATACATACTCATATATATTGCATCTAATAAGTGAGTCGGCAAGTTTGACCTTCACTAAACGTATTGGAAGAAGCTGTACGGGTGGAATAGTTCATGGCCCGCATTATGCAAATAGCTGCTGAGTTTGTAGTTAATGTTCGCTAATGTTGAAAATACAGTTATAAACTGTACTCTAAAGCGTAGTCGCATACTCGTAAAGTCTTAAAAAGATAATACTGTACATGATTTAAACTAGTTAATGCTTAGGTCGTTGATCTCTTATACTGTACAGTCGGATTATAAATGCCAAGAGTCAAAGTTAATATTTTTGTTTCTTGGTATTTGTTTATTTGTCATCAATTCAGTCGTTCATAGTCTATTATTTGGTTCAGAGCCACCCTCGTCCATTGACTCCGTGTAATATATTTGAAGTTGTCGCGTTATATATCTAGCCGGTCTTCATATACATTACTATACTGCACTGTTTGTATGTTCAAATGTAGTTGTGGGCGACAAAGGAAACCAAATAATGTGGGCGACAAAGGAAACCAGGAATGGAAATTGGTAATATATGTATATTGGTCAATGAAACTTAGAAGACTAGGGCTTGAAGGGAAGCCAAAAGGAAACTATAGAGATGCGTCAATTTTGAATTTGGTAAATAACAATATAAAGCTATAAATATGTGGCCTGTACTCTACAGTAGACGTTAGACCGTATCTACTTTTTTAACTGTAAAAAAATTATCAAGTATTATAATTAACATACTGATGTTAATTATAATACTTCATAAATGTATTTTACACTCGGCAGTGACAGGTCACTATATGGTCATAAAGATAGTGCAGCGCTAAAATGGTATTACTGAATGGTAATAAACTTGTAATCCACTTTAAAAATGTTGAGGTTTCGGGGGAAAGTCTATTAATTCAAGAAGATATCGATTTATGCGGCCGTTTAAAAAGACAAACTAGATATTTACGTGTAGGTGAAATTCTATCCCATCCCCCTGAGGAACCTGTTCGGAAACATCATTGTTAGTAATTGTCTATATTTTTACACTACATGGCAGGTAATGTTAACACAGGAAATAAAAAAATAATAATATGACGTACAGTACACGAACGTAGTAGTAGTAGTAGAATTAGATTATAAAGTTTGGATGTTTTTTTTACGCAACTTAGAATAGCAAACAAGCTAACATGCGTTGCCATTTCTGAGGACTAGGTGTTATGCTTCTGTACTCTGTAAATTCACGGCCATACTCACCCTTCGGTAGAAACACGAATGGGATAGAGGTATCCAAGCAAATGACTTTTTACAAAGCCTCCCTCTGGTTATTATTTAGTTTGCTTTAAAAAAAATGAAGGTAGTTGAAAGATATTCCTTAGGGGTAGTTTTTGTTAGAAAAATAGCACACAATTGCACTGTATATCACACACGAGGGATTAAGAGTGCCGCGTCCTTTCTATATTAAAAAAAAAGTTTACGCTAAAACTACCCTAAGG